AAATCTAGTTAACGCCGATCTCGAATCGCACAGTCACTTGCATGACGATCGAGCGAGGATTATAATTTATACTGGAGATTCGCTGGATACAGTGCTCGAAAAAGGTGCCGTGAAAATACGTTCAAAACTCCCTTGAAAATTTGAGCCGCTTGGCGTTTTACAAAGGCTATATAGCTTCTGTGCTTTTCAGCACAGAACAAAGTTAACAAAAGCGTTACATTTGCATAACGTTCTTGGTTTTATTTTTTGTGGACCTTTAGCAAGGTTGTATAATAAAATGATCAAAGTGATGATAAAACACAATTCTCTCTTGTAATTGTTAAATGATGTTTACGTGACTTTTTTTTAGACTCATTAAACGAGAAATCACATGTTTTAATATTTAAATGATTCGCTATTACACAAATGAGTGTGATATCAAGAAGTTTTCTTTCGTAGACCGGACGATTCGTTCTCTCGTATGTGCAAAATTAAATGCATCTGTTAATACACACTGTGGATTACACTTGTCACTCGTAATCCTCAGCCGCGCCGTGTACGTCACGTGTAATCCCGGGACTTATGACTTGCAGACCATGCTTTCAAATTAACGCTAAAGATGATTAAAGCATTGCATTAAAAAAATGACAGCGTATAAAAACTGTGTATGAAAAAGAAGACTCTCCACGTTAAGAAAGAGCGTCGCATACTCGTATATGTTGCATTAAAAGCAGACTCGCGCTCCCTGACTTGATTAAATTCATCTGTATCACAAAAGCTTCGCAGAAATAATTTTCCCCTCGCTAATGCTTCCTCGCGCGGAATAAAATCTAACATGTCGAAGATGACGTGAATGAAAAAGAGCACCGGGCAATGAATAAAATCTAACGATGTCAATAAAGAGGCGTGTAAATAAAGGGGATACTAAATCCGATATATTTTTTCTCATCGCGCTTTCGGAACGGATGTAGAATTCTTTAGACCGCCGTGCTGCACCGTCAGCTTCGTCAGCCGATATCGTTAACCGGAAAAATCGCATGACTACGCGTTTAGAACGATCGATCTCCAGGCACCCATATGTTGCGCACGTCCTCCAAAAGCGAAACTGCCTCGCTATACAGGGATCGTCGTAGTTTGACGTTTATGAGGCACGATATTAAAGAACGCGCGCGAGTAGCGAGCTGAAGATTAAAAAAATAAAACTGAAGAGATCGATTAGAAAACTTTCGATCGAATTGCGAGCATTACTCCACGGCGAATTTTCTTTCATTAATCACCTAGAGAAAATTTCATTCGCGTACATACGATAAATCATTCCCTGCCAATCTATTAAGAAATTGCACCTCTCTTATAACTTATATATAGATATAAATTTTCTTCTAATGGTAAACTATATTACTTGTATCCTCTTTCATTGTTTTATATAATAGTTATTAAAATATGTATGTGTTAGGAAAATTCTATTTTATCTTATCCACTTTGAAACACCAATTTTGCTCGAGAATGAATGTCGGTTTCCAAACAGTTGGTTGGAAGTCTGAGATATTCTAAAGTGATGTTTCTATGGGCGTTCCTAGTTATGCTATAGTTGCTCCTATCGTCTTCGAACGTGCCATTAGAATCCCAGGCGGCAGGAAACGCGTGGCGCGTCACTCTTGATAACAGCTGATTACGATAAACTCATCGAGATAACGAGTCCAGTTTGACGGAACACAATAACACGTTGATATTACATCGATATTGTATCGCGTGTGTCATTGAACTATTTCTTTTGTTTGAAAATAGCTGAATTTGATTGTATAAATTCAAGACTCGTTATTCTCTTTCCACGAGAATTAGAGAGACTCGTAACATGAGAGCTAAAGTGTTAAATAAATTTCTCATTTCACAGCCATCCTTCGCATCGATCCTCGAGTCTTCGCGCAGCAAGAAGACTCGAGAGAAAAGAGTTCTTGCTTCAATAAGTCAAGGCAAGAAGACCAAGGGATTAACCTTGTGTTCTGAAAATATTATCCTTCACGAGGGGTCTTTCAGCCCTTAAGGGACGTATATACGACGCGGCTGCTGTTAGAGAAGATTACGTCGCGTCGGCGTTAACATCCATGAACATTTGCATTATGAAAGGCGAGAACGGAGATTTCTTAGATTATAGAAATTAATCATTGCCAAATTTCAGCACGGGAAATTGGCGGAAAGGCCAAAAAGGGGAAATAAAGGCATAAAACTAAGCCCAGATTGCTGTGGAAACGCGAGGACGATCTCCACGTTTAATTGCGAGCGAGATATTTAAAGCCCGAATAACTTTTAAGCTTCCTAGCATAATTAAATATGGTTAATGAGAAATGCACATCCTGTGTTCCCATCTGTACACATATAAACCTTACGCAATATGTAATATTAAAAAGTAAATATATATAGATATTTCCAAAAAGGAAAATTATTCTGCGAAGCATCGTGAAGTTGATCAGTACAACAAAAACGCTTATTTCTCTTATAGCTCCTGCCTCGAAAACTAAAAACTAAAATTTATTACACGGGCGATAAAAGATATCGAATTTACACGCGACGCTCTTTTAAAAGCGCGAGCGTGGCTCCTACTTTTTCCGACGTTATCTTTCAAAAATATTACTCGCCCTTGAGAGATAAAACTCCCCCCATTTATCGTAATAACGAAAAATTCGCGAAACACAGCCATTGTATTCTGCAAGTCGACGCAATAACAATTCGCGCGTAACATCAACGGTATTTTCGATTCGCACAATTTAAACCGGAGAGAGTGCGAGCGCGATTAAAATCAATCTACGCGAACTAATCTTTAAATAGAAGCTTGTTTAATACGCTTGTAAAAGCTGAGCACACTTTTATAGTTATCCATTTAGAAGCTTTAACGCTTATTAATTCCCGTCCGATATTCACAAATGTGTTTCGAAGCGGCGCGGGCGTCAGAGAGCTGGAAAAACGGCGTTCCCGATTAACAAAGCTTGATTGTCCTCCCGGATCGATGAAAGTTGTATAGGAATGTAGCACGCGGCCAAGTGATCTTCGCGTTTGGCGATCCAACGATGGTTCCCGCCAAAAGTTGACGCCATCGACGCGGAGGAACGTGCCCGTCGCGATAACGAGCCCGGTTTAGAGTCTGATAAAACCTCCAGCGCGAATCCGCCCGCGACGGACCGTATGTTCGCCGCACGTGCCCGCGGACAAAGAGAGATTCCTCCCTCGCGCGCGGGTGGCGGCGGCGGGGGCCCGCGGGTTTACAGTACGCGCTAAAAATAGCGGCGACCATAAAGCCGCCACGCGGACGGGCGAAGCCGCGACGGCGACGTCGCGACGTCGCGGCGACACGCTCGTCGTTTCCCCGTTGCCTAGCTCCGTAGGCGCGCACCCCAATTCTCCCAGCGCTCTGTATTTACCCGGGGGGATGGAGAGACGCTCCAAATTTATATGATAGAGAGAAAAGTGCAGTGACGGGATACTCACGGGGTCCGTGCTCCGAATGAGAACAGAAGGCCCGTCGCCGACGAAGGTAATCATTTCGGCACGTCGCGGCTCCCGGTGCACGGCGTCGCGTCGATCCGCGTCTCTCCCGAGCGTCGCTCTCTCTCTCTTTCTCTCGCTGTCAGCAGCTCGTTCACCAGCGGCGGCGACGGCACCTTCCTCCGCGCGACGGTACCGCGACGCTCATGATCGACGATGACGACGACGACGACGATGACGACGGTGTCTAAGTCCCGATTGCGCTTTTTCCCGTGCACGTCGGACACCGTCCCGTCGGCTCGGCGTGCGTGCGTGCGTGCGTACGTGCGTTGCGCGACACTCTCACGCAGGGAATCGCGCGATCACGCGTGCCCGCGGCGGCCGCGGTCGATCCTCGGAATCCATGACAGGTATACGTGCGACACGTATACGTTGTACGCGCACGGAACGGAGCGGAGGCGCGAGGCGAGCGTGGACCGCATGCGCCGCTCTGTGTGCGAGAGCCGCGTCGCGTCGCGTCGCGCTCTGTGCCGCCAGGGCGGACGTAGACGAGAAAACTCGCGGAAATTCAAAGCGTTTCCCGCCGCCGCGCGCGCCAACTTTCCGCGGAACCGCAGGCGGCGACGCGTCGGAACGCGAAACATCGGCTTCTCGACGATCTCTCGGCGACGAGGAGTCACACGGACGCACCAAGTGTCGCTTAGGACGGCCACGAGTCGTACCGAATCAAAAATATCGCGCTGCTTAGTGAAGACCGTAATTATTTGAATCGAGAGCCGACGAGAACTCGCGTTCCTGTTACTGCACTGCTGAACTAGTAACTAGTTCACCCTGGTGCAGTAAGTTAGAGTGAAACAAAATCTACTTGTCCCATTCTAACTTACTGCACCAGGGTGCACTAGTTCGGCAGTGCAGCAACAGAAAACAGCTACCTCAAATCGCGGGAAATCGACGGAAACGGAAGAGAGCGCGCGAATGAAACCGTCGCTACTCGATCGTCATTGATCTGTCGTTCTGCAATTCGAAGAATTTTCCATTAAATTTTTAAAAATTAGTGTTTTTAGCAGCGTCCTTAGATCCTTTAAACGTATCATAGTTTGAAATATCCGACATGCTGCTCTTGCGAGAAATCGCATATCGATATATCGTTCGATATGTTGACAAGAGCGAGCGGCGTGAACTTTTGAGCGTTTTCGAGTATTTTCTGTAACTCTTTTTCGTATTCTTTTTCATATAAATAATGCTGTATCTCGTCGATTATCTTGAGAATACTTTTTTGCGAATCTGAAGTCGTCGTAAATAATCATCGTACTAATTAAAGGTGAACAGTTTACGCTTCGTTTATTATCCTAAATATCGCGTTCTTATCCTAAAATGGCACTTGCCTTTATTCGAAGTCTATAGTCTTCGATTTATTAATTTAAACTGTAATTTCAAATTACATCAAATTTCATTGACTTTACACGCGAGTTTCCAAACGAATTTTGTCGCGCAAGTATGATAATTTGAAGAAGAACGGGATAATTAAGTTCAACGCACGCTAATTTATTTCACACATATATTTCATTACGCATTCGAGCGTTCTTTTAGAGAGACCAAATCAATCACGCTCGTACAATCGATCAATGCTTCTTTCTACTCTTATTCTCATGCACGGATAACAGGTTAATAGCATTCTACATTTCATTGAGCGCATCGCAAGCTCGCACCGAATGATCCGTACTAGCACACGGATTTGCTCAGTTACGTTCAAACTCCGGTACCAAAGAGGCCATAACTCCATATATCATTACGCAAGAAATGAGTAATTAAAATTCGCGTACATATATATTAATACATATATAATACAGAAATTCATGATGTGCTCCGGAAAAAAATATTACGTATAGTAATCCTACAAATATATTTATATTTCTTGAATATAGATCATCCTAATGGCTGCATTGATTCCAGAGGCGAATCGAGATGTTTTAATTACTCAGCTTGGAATTATATTAATACTAAAAACTTGTATTGATCATTTCGGCAGGAACGAAGCAAAAGAAAATAAAAATCTCGTTAAATGATACGAGTAAGTGTATATAAATAATCCATGATCATACCTATCATATCACCATAATTATCATAATTTTCGGTAACAAATTTTCAACATTAACAAAATCTGATTATACCTCATACCATCCACTTTGCATGGTGCGATATCGCGAGAATCGAAAAAATGGACGACGTGAAAAATTGGCACGAAAGAAATAATCTGCCTGATACTATAATTATGATATTCGCTTAACGTAAGTTGGAACCTATTTTTACTTTTTGCGTTTGGGAAGTTTTCTCCCAACGTAATATCGTATCTTCTCCTAAAAAATAAAAATGAACGTCACTCGTGCTAGTACACTATGTAATATACAAAAAAAATGTCCTGCAATTATACAGAAATTTTGTGCTGACAATGGAATTCTTCTTTCGATACATTATCCATCGCTACGTACCGTACACGATTCGGAATTAACCATCCGACAACAATTTCAGATCGTTGCTTCGAATATGCGCTACAATGAAATAATAACGAGAAACAGCCAATATCGATACTCGTAGTCGTGGCTTTCGCATTGAGATTACTTCTTTAACAATTATTTACGCCTCCACATCGAGAACTCGGAATCATTAACACCGCGTCTCGTACAGGCCGCTGCGGCCTATGTAACGAACCCATTTTATCACGTCGTGATCGGAGTAATTCAATTTGGACTCGAAAACTTTCAAGTAGCGCACTTTGAAGCCGGACGGCGCAAACGGCACTTCGAAATTCATCGATATCGGCGGCCTCGTCCATTTCTTCTTCGTGTCCGTCTCGAGCAGATCGATCTCGGCGGACAGCTGCGTCTCCTTCATGCCGGCCATGCGCTTGATCTTCCATACGATCGCGTTCTCCGATGCTTTGTACTTCGCCTTACCCTTCAAACATATCAGCTGCACGCCGGCGGTATTTAACGGCGTCGGTACGCGCACCTCTATCTTCTGCCCCAGCAACGAGGGCTTGAAGTTTGATTTCAGGACCGCCTTAACTTCCATTTTCGTTCGGCCCACCTCGCGTACTAACGGTATCACGCGGAAGGGCAATGATATATCCTTCGTGGTACGGTATCTGTAAATAAGAATGATTTTTTTATATACCTTAGATTAGAACCGATTATTCTCACGATTGTCTCACCTCATCAGCTCAAATTCACCATCCGGCGGTATAAAACTAATGGAATGTTCGGTCTCGAATTTGCTAAGCTTAACGCACTGATGGAATTGGCAGTCATCGATAACGACAACCGGCTTGCCGGATCTAGCGCCTGTGGGATCATCTCCACCGCCTCCCAATCCACCACCTCCTTTCATGCCCTTAGCCTCCATAACGATCTTGTCGTTGATCCCAAACTTGCATTCCGGCATTCCGGATAAATAGGATTTCATTACCACCTGCAAAAAAAAATCTTTTTATTAGAAATCTGTGAAAGTCCTAAAAAATTATTTTATCTTCCTTAGAAGATTTACCTTTCCAGCAACATGAGCGCTGAGAACCTGACCCTGAGGGCTCATCAATAGATTCACGTATTCAAGTACGTCCAGGAAAAGTTCGTTACGCCTGTACTTGATACCCTCTCGTCTCCATCCGATCTGACCGGTGACTTGCGATGTTATTTGAGCTTGTTCTTCCTTGGTGGCTGATTTCACGCCTTGCTGAGTGATAAATGTCTTCAGTACTCCCGTATCACAGTTCTGTGGATATCCAAAGTCAAGTATCTCTGTAAAAAAAAAACAACTAATAAAGTTCCAAGGAAAAAGCCATTTATAGGTCATTAAAATATTAATCAAACTTTAAATACTGACCGTCGAGCAGCTCGTAAATAAGCACGAAATTGTTCTTAATGTTCTCTTCTGAAATCTTGCCGAAGTACGACTGCATAACATCTATGATCTTCAGCAGCAGCTCGAATACCATAGCCGCGTTAACATTTTGCTTGGTGACGGCGGCTAACCAGATGTTAGCGCGCTTTATATGGAAAAACGACGTTCTGGCAATGTTGGTTACAGGCGAGCGTACTTGCTGCCGCGCATGGATGACATTGACACGAAATGCATCCACTGCGTTACGGCCAATATCATCCCGATACACTCGGGAGATGAGCACCTCTCCCTTGTGGTTGTAAACAAATAGACCCCCTATCATCTTGACAGAGGGCAAAGTTAGCTTTTCGAGTTGAGATCAATCTGCAACAAAAATCATCCGCGATCAATATATCAAAGCTCTCAATACCTTTAAAGTACACACACTGCGACAAAGACCAACAAAATTTATATAATTTTAAATTCAGTTTTCCAGAAATAAGTCAATGAAAACGTAACGCTTCGATGAATCAATAATATTCCAAATTTCTGCTGGGGAAACATGGTAAAATCAATAAAACGTTCCAAAACATACGGTCTAAAAATAGCTCGACACTGCGACTATGATAAACAATAATCTGGCATTCCTCTACTGATAAGAAACGTCTCCGACGCTCGGCGGGCGGTCCTTAATTAGATGGATACAGCCTGGAAAACATATTCGCGACGTGTGCGGTTCGAAGGCGAAGGAGCACACGCACCGAGGAAAGAATTCGTCGGAGTGCTCCGGAAACGACAGACGAAACGCCCCGTTTGTTAAGTGACACTTGGAGCCGTTCGTCCGTTCGTCCGTCCGTCCGATATGTCTTGCGAACGGTTAGTATTATCGATCGTACGTGGACCCCCTTCGTAACCCTTCGCGTCCAAGTCGCCGTCACGGCGACCCTTAGGTCATCGGGGCACGCGGGATCGAGTTTCACTTACGCATGACTCCCCCGAAGGGTGGGCTCGCCGAGATCTCGCTGTCCTGCCTCGACTCCGTCTGCCCGTTAAACGTGGCGCGATACCCTCGGCGCTCTCGGTCGCGGGCCGACGGACGGCTGACGGAACGGAACTGATGGAAGCAACAGAGCAACACCCACTTTCCGATATCGCCGACCCGAGAAACGCCGCGGTCGACGTGGACTGCGTGGACAGTGGACAAGACAGATGGGCTGGCAGAAGTTCGAGTAGTCGGACGGCGAACGTGGTACCGTAGAAGTGCCACCTAGAGTCATGCTCGTCTTCACAAATCGTACCCTGCAGTCGATAAAACGCGCATTTTTATTAATGCGATTATTAATATTTTATTTCTTCTTCTAACGACGCATTTTTAATATTTCTTAAATCACTTTATTGGTACTACTTTATTTGCACGTGTGCAAGAAGAAATGTACTACATACGTTTATTGAACAGATTGTTAATTTCAAAATTAATAAAGAAATTATACTTGATATAAAACTTAAGATTATCTCTTAGTGGGTTTAAAAATGTTTAATTTATGTTTTTTTTCTATTTGGCGCAATTTTTTGATAAAAACCACGAGATATGTTGCGAATATTGGCTTCGCTTCTGCTTCAAACTTGACACATTTGCAATAATCTCCATCGTAATTACTTTGATTGTAAGACTTTTAAAATTGTAAGAGGATTAGCCAGCGTTTCGTTATTTTTCGGTACGCTCTGTATTTCTCCGCCTATAATAAAAAGCTAATTATTATTATTGTATATTATATTTCTCCAGTTCTTTCATATCAAGAACGAGATTTTAAGGTATCGACGAGACTCGCACGGCATAATTCTAACGCGACCCTGGAATTCATTTCCGCCGTTCCCCCGTAATTTTCGAAGAAGCGTGGACTCCGTTCTCCTTTCAAGGAGACGCGGAAAAACAGTTCCTCGATGACGTCACAGCTCGGCGGCATGTCTTCAACCTTGGCTGACGACAGTGGCGAGCGTTTCTCAGATTCTGCGAGTTGAATCATCTCCCCCTTCCCGCTTCCACGTAAATTCCCCTTCGTTGTTCGCAATGAGAATGCAACGTGGAATAACACTAATGGGGATTTTGTCTCGAATATATTTTATTATACATACATTAATGAAAATATATACATGGTAGACTGCAGCTTCTCGAAGCAGCGAAGTGTCAATATAATTAGCTACAGTATTCGTACGCGAATCTGTTTCATCTTTTACTTATTTTTTTTTTGCATTTTTTTCCCTTTTTCTTCTTTTTTTCGACGTCCTCTCGATAGCCGAGGTTGTCGAGGTTGTCGGGAGGCACGTGTAGGCCGACACGTGTAGACCATGGATGCTGTTGTACGTGAGAAACGTTAATGTTTTTTGGAGTTTTCGTTTATTTCCCAAAATAAACGGCTGATTGATAACGGTCCGACCCGATTTCCTCGGGTATGTAGCGACTATTACGAGACTGATCGCGTGTGAATCCGTCGATACACGCAGCGGATACCGGGATACTTTCGCTGACTTCGATTATAATATCTTTATCTCTCGCATTCTCTCTCTCACACGCACCCTCTCAACCCTTTCATTCTTTACTCTCGCTCGCACTCTCTCTCTCTCTCGCTCTCTCTCTCTCTCGCTCGCTCTCTTTTCTCCCTTCCTCCCCCTCTTTCTTCTCAGCCTATTCACAGCCTTCCTATTCAGACCTAATCAGCTTTCTCTCTTGCACAGCCAAACACTTGCACGATCACTCAGCGGCGTCAACGCTTCGATCTCTTATCTTCTTAATTAACCGTTACAACACGATTCAACGGTGACAACTGCGGATTATTACAATTGATTAAACTGTAAGTGGCGATCATCGAAAGTGTGTGACGGTACTTCGTTCCCCCGTTTCTCTCGGAGATCCCCGACAGATATCGCAAGTCTGAAGATCGTCCGAGAGCGAATCCCGCACGTCCGAGTCAAAGAGATTTTCCGACAAGGCTCTCTCGCCGTCCCCTCGCGGGTTAACGCAAACGCAATTAAACGACGGACGATGATACCCCGGTTGACGGCGGTTTGCGACGGCTGTGATAGACGTCTCCCCGAGTCTCCTCCTCGATCGGACACATGTCGTCGGCGCGCGTCACGGCCCGACGCGTCGGACCGCCTGACGCCCGGATGCCGCGCTACAAACTTTGGTTCAGCCAAACATCATTCTACGTTAGCGTTACAATCTGCCGCACGCGCGGGAGAGCTCGCGCTCGACACGACTACACGGATTAGCTTCGTAACATTTCAGGCACTGCGATTGACTTTGTATTTTGAGTTTAGCTCGCGCATCGGACGGGCGGCCGACCGCGGAGACCGTCGGCGGGACCCTTTCGTTCCTCGAGCGTGAATCTCATCCGCCGCTAAAGATTCGGGAAAGAGTTCCGTCGCTCTCTTCCCCAAGTAAACGCCATCCAACAGCAATATTCTATCCTTTGACTGCCCAGACAGCACGCGTGTCCAATATCGGGACATAAGGCGTCTTAAGATGTCTTATGTTCTGATCTTAGACACGGTGCTGTCTGGGTATAATCAAAGATTGTATCAATATTATAATTTCCTACTGAACAATGTAACTGTCACATAAAACACACGTTATATTACACTTATATTGTTGAGTGGGAAATGATATAATATTGATATAATGTTGGTGTTTGCCAAATTCTTAGAGAATTCGCGCGGTCGAGTCGCGACGCGGGGGACAATTCCGTTCGGAGGAGCTCGGAAGAGCAACGCAAACGCTCGCACCGAGATTCGCGAGAGGTCGGAAAGCCTTGCACGAGTGCGGACAACGCGCGTGTTTCTATGTACGTGTGTGTATGCGTATTGTGTTTCGTGTGTGTCCTGCATCATCGCGGTTACGTCATGCGCGCGTATAATCGTACATCGCTTATAATTATTAACCTGACTTCGAACGACACGTTTACAATGATCACGTTATTCCACTAGGGATGACATGCAGCGTATAAAACATATCTTATCTATATATTTATTTACTGTTGTATTATATATCTAGGTTGCCGCATCCGTTATTTCTGTTACACGCTATATACTTCAATATATACGCGGTACGTCTCTTACACGCTACCAAAAGGATTAACAATCGATACCCCGTGTTTCTTGTCTTCTTTTTTCCTCCTCCCCCCCCCTTTTGCTTAACGCGACGACGCACCGTGTCGCGATGTTAACCGGGTTTACGATTCACGAATTCAAAGACAGAGGAAGGAAAAAACGAGGCGCGTTTCGCGTCTCTGACGGATATTGCACTTCGAAACTGGACCGCTTTTAAAAATTTCGCGCGTTGGTCTTCGATCGGCCATTAACGCGTTCAAAGTGCGCGTCCTCGGCTTCTTTAGTAAAAATCTGGCAAGGGTACGCTTCTAAAAATATAGCCAATGTATGTGTGTCTGTACGTGTGAGTGTGTATGTGTGCGCGCGCGCGCGTTTATATGTTGTGTGTTATGTGTAAGTGTCTTTTTTTTTATATTCAAAATAAATTATGTCGATTCGAAACCCAAATCCGCCGTCAAGTCCCGTCGCGAGAACTCGCGGAGAAACTACGCTGTGGAATTTCTTCGTGTACAATCAAATGGAAAATCGTAATCCACATGTATAGGGGTTGCTCGTCTTCCCGCGGTCCGTTTCCCGGCCTCCGGGAATCCACGTTCGACATTTTGCGTTCTGTTATGAACTGTTCGTCTCTTCTTTTTTTCTTTTGCGATGCTCAACGCTCCCGCCAAGGTCCCTCACAACAAATCGACTGCTTCATCGAACAATACCGTGATCCGATTGTGAGTTGGCGCCGACCTTACGATCGGGGCTTTTTACAAGCACTGAGTCGGAGATTAAACGTCTTTTCTGTTTGTTTTGTTTGTTTCTCACCATCGGGCACATTGTCACTGTAGTCACGGAGTATCCGGGATCCAGTTGGCGAAGATCGCGCGCGGAGATCGCCGATCCATCCGCCCTTAGCGATACGTCCGTGGCTTCATGATACTGCCGCCATTCCGTTCTTTTTTTTTTAAACCTAGGCTTAAAAAGTAAAAACGCCAGCGCTGTTCGCCGCCGGCACGAAGTTAATCGGTTTAACACATTAACGCTTTGATTCGTTTGTCAGTCTGTGCTCTCCTAGTCCATGACAAGTTACAAAAAAAAAAACAAAAAAACAAGATAATAAAACAGGGAAAAGAAATAATAGAATAGATGTCCGGGCTGTCGAGGAGAAGTGGTGTTTACGATTTTACGGGTACTCGAGGATACGATGCACGGGCGTAAATACCGTCTGCCCGTGAATCGATTGTAAAATGCATCTCTCACGCGCCACCACTATAAGCCGCGCCAGCGGCGGTTAGAGTCTTCAAAAGACGATACTCGAGCGTCCTCCTCCCTTTCTCACTTCGTCTCGAGTGTCCACGATCACAATACGTCGAAATTTCCGTCGTTAAAAGTTGAAAGTTGTGCGCCCTTAATGCGACAAAGTCACGCGTTCTTCTTTGTCTCTCTCTCTCTCTCTCTGTTCCTACTTTTTTCTTCTTTTTTCTTTTAAACGAAAGGAAAGAAATTCGTAGGTGTCGCTCGGTAATCACGTACGCGCGATACGTTAATACTTTTAAACAGACACCGAGAAGAAACACTTTCACCGAGCCATATTTTGTCGGTGCGTTATACGTCTACGTTATACGTTAAACGATAGTAATATCCTAAATATTATGACGAGATTCGATTCGCGGTCGCTATACCGTATTTGTTTTTTTTTTCTTCTTTTTTTTCTCGTTTATCAATAGCATTATAGGCAGTGTTCGTTGAGAAACTGCTACGGTTACCCGTCGAGATGTGTGAAATTCGACTTCTGGATACGATTGCACGCAATTATTACGCTCGACTCCATTGTCCCCTAAAACTACCGTTTTCCTCCACGCCCCATCGGTAGTACACGCGCGGGTGCTCATTAAGATATTTATAAGACATTTACGCGTATCTTAAAATAAGTATCTCGTGTTTATCGAGCAACGTAAATCGATAAACTTGCTCGCGTAGCGCTAGGAAAATACGCGTCCGAACGCTAATCAAAATAAGCTCGCTCGCTCTCGAATACGTCGCTCCGTATCAGTGAGTGGCTCAGAAAACGCGCGGAGCGCGCGCACGTCATTTCTCTCCGTGGACGAACGCTAAATGAAGATCATAGAAAATGATAATATCGCTAAAGAAACCTGAGAATTTCTTTCCTTTGCAGACTAACTTTTCGCACGCAATATAAACCGAGATAGTTAGCGATGCACTTACTATCGAGATAACGGAGTACAAATAGAAATAATAATAATAATAATAAGTGTAGTAGTAACAGCGGTAGTAGTAATAGCAGCAGCAGCAGCAGCAGCGGTCATATTGGTAATTGCAGTAGTAGCATCAGTGGCTGTGTTGATGATGGTGACGTACTTCACTCGTTGCGTGTGGAGCTTGAATCGATTTAACGATTTGCAATTGACAACGAGTCCCGTTCTCACTTATCAATGTGTGATGGGCAACCAGAGCGTCTCCTCCGGTAACCACGATAGAGAGAGAGAGGTCCCATAATCGCCGCAGGCAGCGACTACCGATAAAGGTCCACTATAATCCCGTGGATATATATATCGGACGATTTTTACTTCGGAGTTAGGAGTTGAAGGCAAAATCACAGAATGACGCAGCACCGACAGTATCGTTGTCGCGAGGCTCCCGCGCTGGGTGGTGGGGTCGGTGGTGCGAAATACGCGTGCACCTTTAAGTTCGGTAGATGGGCCTAAAATAGTACAAATAATACATTCAATAATTAATATTCATAAGTTAAGGACGATAAGAACGACAAGTTTTACGTTTAATCGTACGATTGCGACTTACATAGGTATTCCGTTCGTCGAAACGAACTAGAAAAAGGTGAGTCTCTTCAAATTGTAGTACATTGTAGTTATCTATGATAATGTACCGTAAGCCGCAGTCGCGAATTCTTTACATATATGATTCATTGTTAAGCGGAAAAAGCGGTATTAATTGTACCCAGCCGCCGGACGGAGTATCGGAGTAATTGCGCGGAATCGTACTTTTTGCGGAATGCGCGATCTATAGCAATACGATTGCGTGATACGCGCTCGGTGCGCGCTAAATATAACGTTCCGCGGGAAATGCGGCCGGATCCCTTTTTCCGCGTAACGCACGAAACGTCGGAGAATACGGTAAAACGGGACAATACTCTGAGTTTACGTATGCCCTCTCTGGTAATGTGTAGGCAGTCGTAAAGTTCGATACGCTCGAGATTGTGACAGGCCTGCATCAGATGGTTCAGACCGTTGTCCGAGATGTTCGGGCAGTTGTCCAGCTCTAAGACGGCCAGGTGTTCCGCCGCACACGGCGACAGCGCGATTTGTCGGAGGCCTTCGTCGGTGATCAACTCACAGTGTGACAGGCTCTGCGCTCGGAAATGGCAAAACTCTCGATAAAGACACGGGTCTTTGCGATTCGGAAAAACGCACCAACACCAAAACACCGTGAGAGCATCGCCTAATGCACGATGCCGTGTACATTAAATCGCTACTCACTAGTTTCTCCAATCTCGGACAACCCATCGCCAGGTGAGTGAGGGTGGCGTCGGTGATTAAAAGGCACTCTTCCAGATCCATCTTCTCGAGCAGTTTGCAGTTCTGAAAGTCGAAAGTCGAATAGAGTTTCGCGGCTCGGCTATTTAGACGATTTAAACGATTCGCGCTGATCAACTCACTCTCGCGAGGGCCTGAAAACCTGTATCCGTGAAATGGGTGCACGCGACGCACTCGAGTACATTGAGGAGTGGACAGTGTTGTGCCAGGCTAATCAACGTCGCGTCCGTTAAATTGGGGCAATTCGACAGGCAAACGTAATGCAGCCGTGGACACCGTTCGCTAAGTTCTCTGACTCCGTCGTCCGTTATATTCTGCAACAAGGATCGCAAAGGGATTTTTATTTACTAACGCAACGCCTGGGGCCATCCTTTAACTTCCGATACACACATTTATGAATAAAATTTAATATACTTTGAGCAAATAATTTATCTTTTTTCCTATTGCATAAGATCTGTTGCCGACGAAATATATATATATAAATATATAGATAATTTTCTATGTTTAATATCATAGAGAGATTTTCTTCACTTTAATATATCTCGCTTTCTATCGAGAGGTGAAAGTCTTCAACGTTTCTGCGCGAAACACGTGCTATTGAATCAAATTGCAAATATTATTGCGCACAAGTAGCTTCTTTCTCAACTTCCTCGGTATGAAAAAAAACGAATGTCAATTTGATCTCAGCGATACAAGCGAGTCTTATCTCTTTGGGAAACCCAGCGATATCTCGTCGGCGACAAATTGGTTGCGCGACGACTGCAGCGTCTGAGGCGCGTCGCGCAATTGCTCCTCTTTGCGTAACACGCGGATTTGGAGAGTCAATGAGATAAGTACCCTGCATTCGTGTAGATTGATCGCTTCGAGATTAGGACAGTAGCGAGCTAAGCACATCACGGCCTTATCCGTCAGCTGGCGGCACCCCTTGCTCAGGAAGCTGCGAAGTTCCGGGCAGCCCTTGGCGAGCGCGTCGACCCCGTTGTCGGTGAGCAGCTCACACCACGAGAGATTGATGTGGGTGAGCAGCGGGCAACCGGCCGCGAGATCCTTCAGGGACATGTCCGTTATCTCGGGACAGGAGTCCAGATTCAGCCGCTGGAGCTTGGGGCAATGACTGCTGAGGGCCGCGCATGTCGCGTCCGAGATCCTCTTGCACTGACTCAAATTGAGCTCCTCGATATTAGGACACGACTGGGCTAGAGTGCGCATCGAGTTGTTGCCGATGCTCTGGCAACCCTTGAGCGAGAGCTGCCTGAGGAATCCGCCGCAACGCCTCGAGATATTTTCTATTACTGGTCCCTACGCACAAACGCCCCCCACAATCCGGCGTTAATCAATCTCTTTTCTTTTCTCTATATGCGTAAAGAATTCGTCGGGACGGGATATCTTTCTTTATTACCTCCACGTCTCGTTGAAAATCGAAGAGATCGATCCTCTGCCAATTGGACCCATCGAGCGCCAACACGTTCCAGGCTTTGCTTACTTGGGCACAACGGCATAGCGATACGACATCGAGGTACGAAAAAATTCTGTCAATCACAGAGATTCGTTAGAGCGACTTGCGCGTTATCGCGTCCCGCGATTGCTTAACACCTTGCGAAAGCGAGGGGGACAATGTGGATTTAAGTTTTTCGCGAGGCACGATGAGACGTAACACTTACGTCTTATATACCAATCTTACGTAGCTTTCAATCTTATGAAAGATGCCTGTTTCGCCCGTAAAAAGTTTTAAAGGGCAAACATACGATTACGTGTATTTCAAATATAAACACGGCGAATTTGTATTAGATAAAAGCGTCTAGAGATTAGATCTATTTTAGTATTATCGAAAAGTATAGGCAACAGGAGTGTCCGGAATTCCCGTTTCTCGATCAAATAAAACCGAAATCTCGATAAGTTTCACCGTTTCTTATCACGACAACTCGCTCCGAACCGTGTTAAGCCGGCAAGACGCGATCGAGGCGTATAACACCGCAGGCAAACGTACGCCGTACCTGAGTAGCAATTCTTTTGGCAGTTTCTTGTTAATCTGCGCCTCGTCATCGTGAAACACCCATGTTAGCTGCAACGGAAAAGTGATTAAATACGACCTGAGCACGACGTGAGCCGGGCCGCGCTCGCGTTTATCGCTCTGCGGAGCGACGAACGTTCACCAGAGAGGAGTCGGACAATCCGTCTCCGTTGTACGCAACACGTTGGCGAGGACGGATGGGGGTACGGGGGAAAGGGAGAGAGGAGAGAGGCCGAGAGAGAGAGAAAGAGAGAGAGAGAGAGAGAGAGAAAGAAAGAGAGATGGGATGCAACGTTAGACATACGCTTTTGATAGCGGGACATCAGAGAGGCGCGCGGGAGGAGCCGCGTATGGTATAAAGCTCTAGCATTGACGTGCCCGGACAGAGTTCTCTAGATTGACTAACCTGCATGTAGGATTGCTTCATGGTAGTGACAGGGTTGTGAGTATGCGATTGCGTGTAATAACCGCCCTGATGATGATAATGTTGTTGATGATGATGATGTTGGTGATAATGGTGATGATAGGATGGATGCTGCTGCTTCCACCATTGTCCACCGGTACCGCCGCCTCCTTTTTCCGTCTCCTCGACCGCCAGTACCCCTTGTCCGACCCCTTGGCCCCCTCCTCCCACTCCTAACTGTTGGAGACTTACTTTTTTCTAAAAAAAACATCCCAATACGTGTCATCTCCGTCGCGCTGACGCCGGCGTAACACGCGACACAACGGAATCGCGGCCTTCGAACGGCGTTTCATTTCGTACGCTCGAAATCGCAGGATTTCACGCAAGGACTAATCAGGTTCACAATTCCGCAGCCGATCCGTTCATAATTATTTGTAAGGTACTACTACTGTTTGGACCTCGTCAATCATGGACTTGTATCGTTGTTGCCCAGAGATTCTTAATTGCCAATGTGCTCTGTTGTGTCATTATAATTTCGTATCTAATAAATATATACCGAATCTCCCCGAATTCACGTATTTGCTTAATTTTAGAGGTACTAATAGTAATGGAACTTTTATTAATTATATACAATAGTCACATTACGATTTCGAGTAATTTTAATATGTACATTTTATTATGTACATTTTTATTATGTATCATTTGCTAAATTGTGATGATACCTATACGACCTCGCCGTATTCCAGATATGCGACTTTCTTTCGCCACGTACTAATCGCCAATTAATAATTCATCGTCGATCCCGGTGTGAACAATAGCGCATGCAAAGTCGGAATTCAAATGATTGCGTTATTCTGATTGGAAAGTGACATAATTGTTAATTCACAAGTAAACGCTATCGTGTTCGGGTAAAAGCAAGTAACTTCCAATCGTCATACACACACACACATTCATACATCATTAATGCAGTCTGTGTTGCGCAAAAATTATTATTATATTCAGACATAAAATTATATTTTAAATATATTACGACACTATACATTTATCTGTACAATTAATGGTTAGATGTTTCCCAAATAATTTTACTTTTCAGACAGACAAGCGATATTCTTTATACCACAGACCACACTGAATGTATCGCGATCTCATATCCTTTATTAATTAGCGAACGTTTTCTGTCCGACTGTCCGCGTTCAATTTTCATCGAAAAGCTATTATGCGACTGGGGGACGAGCACGTTTCATTGACGTTACGACGAGCAGAGTGATTTTCTTTTTCCCATTGCTCCCGCGCTCGCTCGACTCTGCGTCTCGTTGCATTTTCAACGAGGAAAGCTCGCTCGCGAAATGCTTGATTATCAGGGAGTTAATAGAAGTGGAAACAAGAGGCGAAGAACGATGGCGTATGCAGAATATATAGCACAGCGAGTCCACAAAACATATACAAGTGCAAGTCGCTCCCAAGTAGATCTCGAATATTTTCTTTCTTTTTTTTTTTTACGTTAACTTCATCTCGGAAAATGAGACAACTGTGCGTGTCGATGTGCGTGTGTCTATGTGTGTATGCGCGTATGTATCTCCACATGCACGTAACGAATACATTGTACCCAACGACAAATAATATTAATGAGTTGCTTGTACGTATGTTTTTATTATGATTTCGTGCTGGGTGCCATATATGTATGCACCTTAATATTATTACACAGATGGTTACACTTACAAAGAAGTCGAGAGACGAAAAGTAAATTAAACTGTATTCGACGACAATACCGACGGTAAAATTATTGATAATTTAAAATAAAAAATAACTTGGAATTATATTCCATATCTTACATTCGAGATAGTGCAGGGATCAAAATATTGCTCGTATACACGTCTCGCGTGAGAGAGAGAGAGAGAGAGAGAGAGAGAGAGAGAAAGAGAGAGAGAGAGAGAGAGAG